TTTTCTCCAGAATATCAAAATGCGTATTTGTTTGTTTTTAAATTTTGGTTTCGGTCACAAAAGCAAAATCAACAATGATAAGAGTACCAAAGCAAATACCACTATTATTTAAAAGAATATTAGGATTCTTTAAGATAATGAGCAAACTCTTCTGACTCAGAAAATATTGGTCTCTTTAGATATGATAAGGAGCTCTGGTAGCGTAGTGGCTAAGGCACTTGTTTATTTTCTGTGGGGCGGGGTGTGTGTTTTTCGGTCATCTTTATGGAAGAAGATTGTCAGACCTGTGTCTTCTGCATTGCTTCTGGGTGAGTTTGAATCATCAACCTTTTGGTTACCAGCTGAGGGCAAACTGTTTGTACTACCCTGGGACCTTTATTTTCTTTCTTTGAAAGTTAATACTCAGAAGTCAGCGTTCTTTTTTCTTAGTTTCCCTGCATTAAAACAGAAGTATTTTCCAATTGTGTCATATACATTTTAGAAGGAACAATAAGGGTGTATTTTTAAAGTAAAAAATTATGTAATTAAACTAAGTACAAATTAGTAGAAACATTCAAGGCTAAATTAACAATATACATATTTTATATATGTATACATATTTTAAATGTCTTATTTCAGAATAAAGAGCTCTGGTAGTGTAGTGGTTAAGGCATTTGGCAGCTAACCAAAAGGTCAGTCGTTTAAACCTACCAGCTGCTCAGCGGAAGAAATATGAGGCAGTCTGCTTCTGTAAAGATTCACAGACTTGGAAACCCAATGGGGGTCACTATGAGTTGGAATTGACTCAAAAGCAGTGAGTTTTTTGGTTCTTGTTCCATAAAGGAATCAAGACAACTATCAAAGAAATAAAACCATACACAATTATCCCAGGAAAAGGTTTTTTTTCTTTTTTTTCTTTTTATAGTCAACAAAGTAGAAGCTACAGATTTTGTCCTACAATCTAATGATGACATGGCACTGAGCAAAAGCAGTATTAACATCAAGGTCAAAGGCAAAGAATGGCACAATTAAGAATCAGTTGGTTCTTACTAAACTCCCACCTCTTTTTGAAACCCACTCCTCACAACCTTTGTTCTACCCTTCAATTGCCCAAAGCTTTTACTTACTTTACCACTGATACTAACATTTTAAAGCAGGTGGAAGTGAATCAAGCTCTCAAATGAACAATAAATATAACCATTTCATAAATTTAGTTAACCACAGCTAGACAGAAAAAATTAACTACATGATCTATTAAAGTGAGTCTAACTAAAGAGTGATTTACTTAAGTAACATGTAGAATTATTTGCATTATACAGTATACTCTGAAATGGAGAGTGAACCCCCACAATTCCAGATTGATGGGGTCCTTGTGCAGCTATTTGTGATTAAGAGGCCTCCCAGGCGCTCTATATGACTCTGGGAATGACGCTGCTCTCATCTTCTCCAACTAAAGTCTAGGATTCCATTTCTAAACGTTTACTAGATTCTTTAAATTTCCTAAAATACAAGATTATATAGGAAAGGGAGTCTTGGATAAAGTTTTTCAACACATGGTTTTGACACAGTCCCCGAGACATCTGACTGCTTAAAAGGATATTGGCAGTTCAAACCTACCAGCTGCTCCACAGAAGGAAGGTGGGGGAATCTACTTCTGTGAAGATTCACCACCTCGGAAACCCAGTGGGGGTCGCTAGGTGTCAGAATTGACTTGATGGTAGTCAGTTTGGTTTTTGTTTTGGGTTTGAGAATAACCTACTTCAGACTCAGTGGGGAGCCACAGTTTCAAACACCAGTCCCACCTCTGACCAAATGAATTAGAATCTTGCAGCAGGGTTTAGGAATCTGCATTCTAACAACCTCCCCAGATGATTTTTATGTGTGTATTTCAGTTTGGAAACCACTGACCTCGGGGGATAATTTTTAAAAGCTAAGCACCAGTGTTATTGGGTTGCTGGAGTCTTTCTATTGCAGACCACAGACCAGAACTTCAACGAGTACTATGTTAAAAATTTAATTATAAGAAGACAAAATATAATTTTAGGAGACTAATAATTCACAACTCTATTTACAAGATTATATGTCCTTTTGTTGTAAATTATAGGTGAAATGCTCAATGAGTGCTTTGGTGGATGCTGTTTAATACTGCATCACCATCCATAAAATTAACCAGCTGGCCAAGGTTTTTACTGTGCTACCCACACATGAGTCTCCGGTAACCCCCGAGGCATTCTCTGAACAAGTTTCATTTCCTGTATAAAAAGAAATAGGCTTAAAGCAAACTGAGTTTGGTTAACTGTACAAAATTTAGGGTGATTAAATTTAGAGTGGTTATCAAAGGAGACTGTGGATTCTGCATCCTTGGAGATGCTTTAAAATAGTAAACACAACCATCTTTTTGGATGAGCAGGGTATTTGTGAATGGCCTAAAGTTGGAGGATACAACTAGAAGGCTTTTTAAGATTCTTTGTAGTTGTACAATTTGATTAAATCTCATCTCCACCCAAATGAATGTCAATCTGTTTTTGTTTGTTTTTTAGCCAGCTGTGCCTGGAAGAATTCCTTGCCCTTGACACTGAAATAACCTCTTGACAACCCTTTACAAAAACACAGTTTAGATGGACAAAACTTACAAAGAAGGAAACCATTGAACTTGATGACAATATCCTGCCCAGATAACTCAGTTACCTAATTGAATTTTTCACTGGAATTGTTTGGCTTGGCTGAATTAACTGGATAACTCCCCTTCAGTTACACCATATAATTACTCTTCTTTCTCAGCTGTTTTCACTTATCATTTACTAATTTTCTACTCCTTTACTTATAATCAAGGACTTTGGTGGTGCTGTGGTTAAAATATTGGGCTGTTAACCAAAAGGTCAGGAGTTTGAACCCATCAGCTGCTCTGCAGAAAAGCCATGTCTGCTTCCATAAAGATTTAGATTTAGACCTCTGTTTTACAGGGTCGCTATGAGTCAGAATCGACTTGATGGCAGTGGGTTTGGTTTGGTCACTAATAATCTGAAATCATAGTTCAATCCAGAAAGTCACTTGAGTCTTCATTTTTAGAGTTATTTCATGGTGCTTGTGCTGACACAAGCAGAGAAAGTGCTCACTAAGAGCAGCGCTGGGTTGTTGGGGTTTGCATGATGTGGGGGAATATCTAAGCTGCTGGGAATGCCATTGCTCAAAATGTTAAGAAGTGATTTCAAAATATCTTTCTCAAAAACTAAAGGTCTCTTCTAGAAGATGACTAGTTGTCTATAGATAACAATCTAGGGGATAGTTCTTACTTAAAGCTTATAAAACTAAGGATAATTCTGTGAGACTGTATTGCAAATCTACCTGGTAAAAGTTCCTTAACCTATCTTTCCTTCAAGAGATCATGAAGAAATCTAGTATTATAGCTTAAAATGTGTAATTTCCATTCCTGTTACTGTATCTGGATTTGTTCCAATATATCTGTGGAAACAATCTTCACCTGGCATCTATTTCTTAATTAAAATTGGAATTAAAAAAAAACACACTACCCAGGAGTGGAGTGCAACTCATAGTGACCCCTCCTTCGGTTTCCAAGGCAGTATCACTACAGAGGGAGCTCTGGTAGCATAGTGGCTAAGACACTTGCCTGCTCACCAGAAGACTGGCGGTTCAAACCCACCAGCCACTCCTCGGAAGGAAGGTTGGGCAATCCTACTTCCGTAGTGATACTGCCTCGGAAACCCAAGGAGGGCTCGCTATGAATCAGGGCTGACTCAACGGCACATAACAACAACAACAAAATCACTACAGAAGTAGATTGTCCAACCTTCCTTAAAATTGGAATGGACTGATGGAATTAATGGTTAGATTTTTAGAGGACTATGGTGTTTTTTGACATTTTCTCTGAATTCTGATGTAAGCTTCTTATAACTCTACATAGAAATAAGTGAGGAAGTGTAGAGGGACAAAGAGGCTGAAGGTAGGCCCAAGTTCTAAACTTGGTCGGATCAAATTCCAAACTTTTGTGAGCTTTGCTTTTTTCTCTATTTACAAAATTTGAGGTTGACAAAACTATTTAAAGCCTCTTCTGACATTTTTTAACCTGACAGAAATGCTAATCACCAAATAATGACCTAGTGTATCCTGATTTTCAAAGATTTTGTATTTGTGATTTAAAATAACAAACGAAAATCGAAGTTGCAGCGTGTCAGTTTTTCAAAGACAGATAAGAACTGACTAATCAGCAACAATCACCTGTTTTTAACTGAATATATTAATATTCAAGTGCCTAGAAAAATATTTCGCGTGCACTGTCCACGAATTTTCCAGAAAGCTCTGTCAATGACACAACTTGGGATCTCACAGATACGTGAGCCAGCCAGCACCATTTTGCTGTAGGGGTAAAGACGGGAAGCTTCGGACATGGTGAAAAAAGTCGAGTTGATTCAGACCTACAGTGAATGTTAAGTCTTGTAGGGCAGCGCAGAAACGTGCCTTAGAGTTTCTTTACGGAAGCATACTACCACATTCGTCTCTCACCGAGTTGCGGGTGGATTCGAACCGCCAGTCTTTCTGTTAGCAGCCAAGCACACAACCACCGCGCCATCAGGGCGCAGCATGATTAAAATTTGAGGCCTTATAATTTAAGGAAACGAAAAAGAGGCCCCAGCAGGAAAGTTTTTTTCAAAGGTCTCTGACGAAAAAGTTGCGGGAAAAGTGAAACCGCCCCCAAATTCCCCAATATGGTCCTCACTAGACCCTCTGGGTGCCAGCGTTCCCACATCGTTGGGGAGACAGTCGCCCACGAATTACATCCAAAGGCGAGCGCAGGCTGCTACTACTTGAGCACCTTCACCGCCGCCTTCAAGGCCAGCACCCTTCCTAGTGCTCGGCGTTGCGAAGGAAGCCTTCAGCCAGCCCCTCAGCGATGACGGACGTCGCCGCGAGCCAATGGGTGCACTGGGAGGGGGAGCAGTAGGGCCTAGAGGGCGGGATTTCCCGCGCGGCAGCTGGAGGCCTGGCGAAAGAGGCACCGGGTGGCGACAGCCGTAGTGCCTACGAGGGAGGGCGGACCGGGGTCAGCTGCTTCGGGCGGGCGGGCGTGGGAAGCTGTGGGCGGACGCCGCGTATCCTGCCGTCGCCCTCCCTCTGCCACGATGCCGGGGATCGACAAGCTGCCCATCGAGGAGACACTGGAGGACAGCCCGCAGGTGAGGCGCGGGCGGCCCGGGAGAGAGCGGGCCTGGCAGATTCCCGGCCTGGCGCCGCCGCCGCAGGTGCCCGCCGGGACCCAGGTGGGCGCCGCCGCCTAGTGTCCCCGCCCGCTGATTCCATCGCGGGCCGCGCCCCGAGCCGCCGGGGCTGGGCCTGCCGCCCAAGGCCCGCGTGGGCCTGCGCGGCTGTGCTGAGGCTGCGCGCGAGGTTAGGGACATCCGCTGGCCGAGTCAGAACCGCCGTCGCTTCGCGCGTGGGCCCGGCGGTTAAGTCCGCGCGCGGGCTTTCACTTGACAATAGGTGCCTTTTTTATCTCTGTGATGGTAAATGATAAATCCCGACCCTCGAATACATTTCGTGGTAAATCTTTTCGGAGAAAATGTAGAAAGGAAAAAGCCCGATAGTCTTTGACTTAGGAAGCTCGGCAAGCGAGAAAAGGAAAGGGATAGTTTTCCTTCAGGAGATGTTGAAAGGCTGTTGATTTGCTCGTGTGGGGAATCATCGGCGAAGTCCGTCGTGGGCCGCGGAGCCGAGTCCGCACCTCTCCGCCCAGTGTTAGTGTCGTGGCTGTGACTTTGGCCCCTGTCACTCGAGCTGGCACTGCGTGTGATGTACCGCGCGCCTTTGCGGCTCCACGACTGCTGCGCGGGTGGATGCAGACTTGGTCCTAATAATTCATGAAAATCAAAGTACTGTGTTCTGTGTTTGGTGCTTTGGAATGGTGCTTGGAATGTTGTCCTAGCTTAAGACATTCTAGGAAAAATGTGGCCATTTGTTAATTTTTTAATACTGAAGAATATTTAGAGCTTAAAAAAAATAAAGATATTGGTGGGGGCTGTAACTTGCAAAGATACGTCTCATCCCTAAGCCTGTCTTTGACACAGTAATTTAAGGATTTAAGACGATACTGCTGGCTGGACACCACTTAGAATGAAGGTGATTTTCTGAAAAATCACTCACTTAGAACTACACTTGCACATGTTTTATATTTATATGTCTTGACAGTTTAATATGACTCCAAAAGAAAGACTGGCGGAAGAGGCTAGCTCTCCCTTCCTGGGTGGTACTTAATCATGGAGTTTGTGCCAGTTTTAATTGCCAAGTTGAAATTGGGCACTGATTGTGGAAGTGTTTTTTTTTTTTCTCCTTCCTTCTGAAAGTTATCTTCACAGACCAGTTGCCTACTTGTAATATACTCTTATCAGTCTGCACTGACACAAAGAGAAACTTTTATCTTGGATTATTTTGGCTACCGAATAGCAAATTCACATTCTTCTTAATGATTTTCTTACTATAAAGGTATAAGTTATGTTGTTTCAGGTAATTTGCAAAAAATTTATGGTGCACTTAGTCATCTTTTTACTACATAAGAATCAACAGGTTGCCTTACCTTTCTTCTCTTACCTGGTCCTTTTTTTTTTTTAAGTCCATAAAAATTACACAGCTCAGAATAGGCCCTCGCCTGGACATGTGAGGAAGAAATAATCTCTAGACTCTGATTAGTTTCTTGAAATGCTCACATAATTAGTTTACCATTTGAGCATACGATTTTTAAAAGCACCCATGACATGACTATCAATTCTACAGTAATTTTTAATGAGATAGGCTGGTTGATATACTTTGAATTTCAACGGATTTGAACTAGGTAGTATTTATTTGAGATAATTGGTCAAAATAATTGGGATTTAGGGAGGAAAGATTCTTAGAGGTAATTAGGAAGAAACTGACAGGATGGAAAGCCACTGATCTGGGATTCAAGAGACAGGGATTCTAGTCCTCATTACTGCTTAGTATTTTCTGATTTAGGACAAGTCACTCAGCTTCTCTGAACCACATTATAGACAGTGAATGTTTTTATTTTTGTTTTTTTCCTGATTATCAAAATAATAATTGTTTGCTTAAGAAAAACTGGAAGGTACAGAAAAAAATAAACACACACCCCTTACATACACCTGTCATACATCCAGGTAACATACATCCAGTTAACAATTTGCTTTCTTGATTCTAGTCTTTTTTTCTCCTACGTATTTTAATGCAGTTGAGATTATATGGTACATAATTTTTATCCTGCCTTTAATTTAGCATTATAGCTTAAGTATCTGCTCATGTTTTTACATCTGAATTTAAAAAAAGTAAAGGTTGCACATTTTCCTAACTGACTTAACAGTTGTCCCAATGTTGGACTTTTAGAAGTTTTCCAAAGTTGCTCCTATAAATAAGGCTGAGATTAATGCCTTTGGGCATACATTTTGGTTTTTAGTTTAGACTACTTACCTAGGATAAAGTCCAAGAATACAGTAACCAAAAGTATGAACACTTTTAAAACTCTTGATACAACAGATACATTTTTATTAGATCATTTGGTCCTAATTAAAAAAATAGCCTACTAGCTGCTATGTAAAAAAAAAAAAAAGTTAAGGCCTACTCCCAGAAGAATATCCTGAATTACAGTTATCCCTCTTCACTTTTGATTTACAGTAACTAGGGAAGCTCTAGGAGCTCTGGTAGCATAGTGCCTAAGGCACTTGACTGCTAACCTCCTTGGAAGGAAGGAGACAATCTACTTTTGTAGTGATACTGATAGCCTTGGAAACCCAAGGAGGGGTCACTATGAGTCAAGTCCAACTCAATAGTAAATAACAACAACGGGAATTATTAAAATAGGGGAAATTTGCAACTCCAAATCCAGCTAATCAATCATAAACATCTTAAAATTAGTTTGCCCAGACTGTACCTTTCTGCAAAAGATCATATCATTGAGCTCCATGAACTTCCTGGTGGGTGTAAAATATGAGTGAACATGGGACGGTAGCATGTCCCTTTTTGGAACACAGAAGCTCTACACTGGGAACCCTTCTAGACCTCTTCATTTGTGTCTTTTTTACTATAGTGCCTCTCCACCCAGAAAATTGCATTCATTTCATTTGACCATCTTGACCCACTGGAGAAGCTTCTGAGTAACAGGGAAAGTGAAGAGACCCCATCTAATGCCAGGATGGTCTCAAGAGTAAGAAAACATTGGCTTGTATGTAGATAGGAGGTATGACTCAAGCCGCAGCGATGATGAACACACTCCAGGATCTTTCTTTACGAGGAGGAAAAGAAAAGTTGATCCTTGTTCAAGAAAATCTATGTTCCACCCCCAGTACTAAGTCAGGAGCATCAAAAGGGGCTACTGGCAAAAGATCAGGGTGCACTGTCATGTATCCCCCACAGATAACACCATGCAAGCTCCTCCTTAGGCTGTTTGAGAATTTTCTTATTGATGGGGCCAGTAGGTTCGCTCCATCTACCTGCTGTCAAGGTTGCTTCAAGAGCAAGTGAAAATGCTCCCTGTGACAATCCACTGAAGATGACTTCTAGTGAAAGAGCAGATAAGCAAGTCTCATCTGATGCCAAGGTGGCCTCAAGTACAAGTGCAAATGACAGACACATTCCAGGCCACCCCATTACTACTGTCACTGCCATTGCAAACTCAGAATGCTTTGTGGATATTGGTTCAGAAACAGACCAGCAATCTGCATGTTTTGGTCATGAGACTATCAAAGGCCGTCACCTAGAGGGCTCAGCCTCAGCCTCAGAGGAGCTAGAGCTTGCCCAGTATTGGGAGTCCTACTGTATTTTCATTTGTTTTATTTTATAAGTATTCTTACATTTATTAATTTTTAGTTTGTTGTTTTAGTCTTTTTTTTTTTACAATTTACTTGAGACATTTGATTTTACACTTACACATTTTCACTATATTTTTAGATTTTTCTATTTTAAAGGTGAAAATAGATGTATGTTTTAATGATGCCAATTTTAGTTGTTTGTGTGATAAGTAATATATGTAATAAAACATTTGCTATTTGAACATTTTTAACATGCAATTTAATGACTTTGGTTGTGTCCCTCATGTTGTTCAGCCATCACCATTATCTGTTACCAATTTTTTCCATCACCTAAACAGAAGATCGGTATCCTCTAAGCAACGAGTCCCCCTTTCCCCTTCCTTCTCTTCCACCCCTGGTAACCACTAATAAACTTTATTGTTTGTATTGAAAGAAAGAAAGAGCATATCATCTTTTGAGGCAGAAAATCTTTAGAGGCCTTATCTATGTATAAAATATTGTTCTGAAAATCAGAAACAAAAGGAAACTTCTTAGATAGAGACAGGTATGATCTTTAAAAAGATAACTGGTTTTATAGAGATAGGTACTTTATCAGTGATTCACCTATGATAGAACTGTGAAGACAAATCGCAATCCCAAATACAGGCTTCTCTATTTGGAGTAATAGGAAAACCAGATTATGAGATGCACATTTTTCTGTGCTTTACTATTTTGAATATTGAGATGTGTCTTACAGTTGATGGTATCATACAAATTGCTGTCAGCCAGGTGGCAGTTGTAATGTACTTGTTAGCATCTGCAAATATATACAGCTGTTTGTTTCTCCTCATGGCATGACTAGCCAAGTGCAACTGATCAATAGCAAAAAATCAACAACTATTTGAGGAAGGAATATGAGCCCTAGATGTGGTTTGAAAACCATCCTTTGACATCTGGTGAGATCAAGCATGTGTATATCACTGTCAAAACTTGCTGAATAGGTATCAGTGACTTGGAAGAAAATACTGGGGACAAAAGTAGAACAGTTTTAAGAAATATTTTATTTCCTCATGCCATGGAGAATAATATTGGATGAGAAAACATGGGTATTGATGATTCTCAGTCAAAGTAATTCACAGGAGTTGAATGTGAAGTTTTAGGAATACAGTAAATTTATACTGCTTGTATTTCCTTTTTTATGTTTACATGAAAGCTGAATATGACAAAATTCTGTCAAAAGGGCTCTTTCCATAAATATAAAGTAAAAATGTCAAGACATCAGACATCGAATCACAGTTTAAATTACCACCATTTAAAAAATTGTTTTAAGTGGTGTATAAAATAATAGTACATCTTACAAAGAGTATCTATCCTCTTAGATTCAATGAAATGATACCATATTGATT